CGCGGCAACGGCGGAGGGGGGGGGACCGATCAGTACCCCATACACGCGATCCGGCGGCTCTACAGCCGTCGGATCGCTTGTGTGGTAACAGGCATCGCTGCCTGTTTTTACATTTCGGCCGTTTCCCGCTGGCGCTCGCCCAGAGGGGGCGGACGTCTAAAGACGCCCGCTCAGATCTAGAGAGCTCCGGGCCGACCGTGTTTTTACTATGGCCGGCCCGGAAGTGGTTAAAAAGGGAACCCAGAGTTGAGTATCCATGTGTACAAAGTACAGTGGTACCTTGGTTCACGAACGCTTCTGTTCGTAAACAATTCAGGTCGCGAACAGGACGTTCGGAAAAAATTTGCTCCCGTTCACGAACTCCGCTTTGGGTGACGAACACATCCGCAGCCATCTTCCCTGCTCTGACACGTGGTCGTGGCTTCCTCTAGTCGAGATCGCGGTCTGATCACCTGTTGGCTACCAATTTGGTTCACGACCAGAATCATGGAACGAATTAAGTTCGTGAACCAAGGTACCACTGTATAAAGAGAGTTCCAAACAAAAGGTCCAAGTTCCAATTCAAAAACTCACCTCCATCTTCAGGGCTCAGGAGTTCAAAAGTTGACATAAACAGCTGAAAAAACTCTTAATTACAGATTACAAGATGCCAGCACCCACTGTCAGGAGAACTGGGCAGAAATTTTAGATTGCAGCAGTTATGCTGTGTCTGTTTCAAGAGAAGTGGCAGTGGTTTTTAGAACTAAGCATTGCAGAACCACTTGCAAAGTAACATCTCTTCTCAACACATTACACCAGCAAAGCAACTGTCCAGCATAAGCATACGTCTGTGCGTTGAGCTGGAAGAGTTGCAGGACAGTTAATGAATGTGGGGTGTGAGGACCTGAGGGTCATAGAGACAGGAAAGAGAACTTTCTACTGTAGACAGAATCCCCCAGTGGCAATAAGAAAATCTAATTAAGTCATTATACTCAATGGGAGGGAAACTGTGCCGTGAAAATGAAACTCTAAATTAGTTTTTGTTTTTTGTTTTTTTTTATTAATAAGGATGTATTTCCAATTTTTTTTTAAGTTTGAATATAGAAAGGAAGGATGTAAAATGTTTTTTAAAAGTGTACTTTCACTTCCTGTGCCAAAGAAAAACAGGGATGTGAAGATATCTCTCACAAATGAGGGAGTTCCTTTTTTTACAGTTGTATAGACAGCAAATAAAAATAATAATAAAGAAAACAAAGACAGAGGTTCTAAATGTTCCCTGCTCTATTCAAAACTAAAAAAATGTGTTTCTTTCACACACACTTTGATTAAACATTTACTATGCCTATTAAGTTGCAAGTCTAAAAAAAAAAATTCCACTAAATTAAAATAGCAGTTTTTTATTGACCCAGATAACAGGTCATATTTTTATACCATGGTATGAACAAAGAATTTAGTTTGCTTCTTTGTTATTTTTACGTATTTATATATTTATTTTCTGTAAAAAAAAATCACAAAGTAACAAAGCATTAGGGAACATGCCTATTTTGGTATAACAGACATATAACAACCATTACAATGAACTACCGCTCAATCAATGTGTATATATATCTCTGCCAGCTATTTTTTTCCTAACTTAGAACTAATATAGAAGTTGTTTGTTGCTATCTTGTTCAGGATTTCCATGACACTAGACTGGAGGTGGAGCGTGAAAAAGCACTCAATAACAAAGCTATCATTATCCAGAAGGTTTTGAGAGGTTATAAAGACAGGTAAACATTGCATGTTAGTATTTTTGGATATGTTGTGCTTTCTTGTGACTCTGCTCAGACTGATGTAGTTTGAATCTAAAGCTCACATGGCCCAAATGACATCAGAAGCTAACTAGCCAATATAACATATACTAGAGTATCAACGGTTCCATGAGCAACTGATGATTCTCAGTGGCTAAAAATAACAGTTCCATTTAATGATGCAAGTGAAAATTGTCTGAAAGGCTTACTCTGTTCTTAACATTCTATTATGGAAGCATGGGAATATGCAATATTTGATGTTTTTGATTAAATGAATAGGCAAGATCTCTTAAAACTTGAACTTTGAAAGATCTTAAAGAAGAACTGCTCAGCCATATTGGCATCTAAATTAAATGTATTGAATAATATGCAATAAAAAACAATGACAACCCTAAATGTGAAAAAAACTATTTTTTTTGTGTGTGGTGGGTCTAAAAGTCACAAACATTGAAGAATTTAAAATATTAGGATCTAATATACGCCTCCTCATCATTTAATACGCTTTCTCACCATCAAAGTTCAACAGGTCTGAACCAGGAACAATCTCTGCTTTCCTCGATCATTAGAACCTACTTAATATATTGTACTATTGCATTAGTTAGGCTGAGGAGAATGCTCATCATTTCCTGTTGGGTTTTTGCAGTCTAATTTGGATATTTGACCTTCCTATTATCTTACATTGCAGAAAAAGGTTTCTTAGACAGAGAAAGGCTGCAGTGAAGATTCAGGCAATGTGGAGGGGATTTCATTGCAGGAAAACATATCTGAAGGTAATAATTGTAATGTATAAATATTGGTCATCTAACTGTTGTCCTTTTGTGCAGCACCTAAGTCAGCATGTTGGTTTAAATAAGATGTTAATGTGGAATTCACTTGGGAGTGGAAATATTCACCTGCTGTTTAGACGTTTTCACTGCTCACTTCCTTTTGCCTCAGATGCGACATGGTTTCCAGAGGCTGCAAGCACTGGTGAGAAGTAGACAGCTTCGTCTGCAGTATCGAAAATCTCAGTTCATCATTACAAAACTACAGGCAAGATGTAGAGGTTATCTCCTACGACAGAAGCGTGCTCGGGAAAAGAAGGCAGCATTGGTTATCCAGACTTACACTAGGGGTATGCTGGCTCGTATGAATTACCAGAAGCAAAAGAACAATGTAAGTATAATCAGTTTATATAACAAGCCATGATCCAGCTGTCCTTTTGGTGTTATGTGTTCTGTTGTTGTTCATTATGTCTTTTTATTCGTGACAGGAGATCATAAACCTGCAAGAACTGAATATGCAAGAACAAAAGAGGATGAAGCAGAGGGAAATGTTTCAATCCCAAGAGGAAGAAAACCTGGCCATGGTGGAGCAAGTCTTTGGCTTTTTGCCTGAGGATGTAGGTACCAATACAGTTTAGGAAGGACTGTGTTGTAGAATACAAACACATTTGGTATCAAAACAAAATAAATAACCAACTTCTTTTTTCTTCTAGGACATGGATTCCCCAAAGTTTTTAGTAGAGACAGACCTAGATTCACTGCCTCTTAAAATGGGGAGAGGCATCGACCACCTGGCAGATTTCACTTTTCCCAAATTTGGTGCAACCTACTTTCAGGGCTCAGCAACAGACAGCCATATTCGAAAGGCGTTACACCAGCCACTTCTATATCATGACGACCAAGGCGATGTTCTGGTACTGGTTACAGTTTTCACATCTCTCCCTTTCAATCGACTCTCTTCAAAGCCCTCTATTCCTCTAGTTCAACATGTTAAAGAGCAAGGAAGCTGTAGGATGAACCAGACTATTTTTTTTAAATTGCTGGCTACTACCGTATTTTTCCGTCTATAAGACGCCCCTATGTATAAGACGCCCCCAACTTTTCTGACCCAAAATTCAGAAATCAATATTTTAAATGATATTATGCATCACACTTACCTCTGAGCCAATCACTTTATTCAGCCTCTGTTGCATCACTGGTTTCTGGCAAGAAATCCAAGTCTTAAGCCTCTGCTCCAAGTTTGGCCATTTTGCTGGTTTTCCTCTCAAGGCCTTCTTCTTTTTGGGCATCTTAAGGAGTTGTTCTTCCTATTTTCTCCACTGTCTGATCATACACTCAATGGAGGAGGTCCAAATTGTCTCTCTGCAGCTCTATTTCCATGCTCTTTTGCATAAGTGATTACATCCAGTTAAAATTTTGCAGAGTAAGCCAGCCGCTTCACAGGTTATTTTTCATTTTCTGACATTTTTATGGTCACAGAATGCTCCGACATTACCGCTCTGGGCACTGTCTACACGCTCTCCCTAGCAACAGCTGACGTCAGGTACAAAAGATTTATGATTGGAGGAGAACTGTTATCTTGTCTCTGCAATCCGAAGTTTCACTCGTGAGGCTAGTTTGCAGTGGTATCAGCACTTTCAGCAGTTTCGAAACCGCGGCCCCCATGTATAAGACGCACCTCTATTTTTAGGTAAACATTTTAATGAAAAAGTAGCGTCTTATACACGGAAAAATATGGTAGTTTCAAAAAAGCGTAAATGTTAGCAACAGGTGGATTGTTTTATAACTACACTAAAAAATACATGTACTTACTTATAGATTTTTTAAAAGTATGTTTTATTCTGTTTTAGGCCTCATTAGCTGTTTGGAAAATTATATTACGTTTTATGGGGGACCTTCCTGAACCAATGTTATATGCTGCCAGATCTGCAAGCCGGGGCAGCTCTGTGTTAACACAGATATATGACACCTTAACCAAGAAAGACAAAATTCAAGCTGGAATCAAGGATAATATACAAAGTGTAAGTTGAAAATGTATTCATTGATCTGTAGCTGCCTAGTATTTTAAGGAGGTTCTGGGAGGAGCAGAGGCATCTTGGCTAAACCTATACATTTCTTGGTTCTCCATTTCATATGTAATATGATGCAGGTATTTTAATGTCTGTGCTACTTTATTAATGCAAAGTAAAACATTAAGAACATTTTTTTAACACTTGAGTTGAGTTTACTTTTTTTCATCATAATCTATTAGAAACTAAACTGTTTGTTCAAACCTGTTTTAGCTTCTTTTCTCCTTTTTTTCAGATGCCCATTAAGCACATATGCAAAGCAGACTTCTTTTTATTAACTTTTGTAAAAAAAACATGATGTGCCTATGTTACTCCCACCACCAGATATAGAGGAACTAATTGGTGCCGTCATCAGTCAGTGTTGACATAGTTAACATAGAGTATATAGATATGGGTTTCCTCAAATTAAATCAAGATGGTCTTGGGCTCCATAACAAAACATTTTATTTTAACATGCAGATTTGGGGAGTATGACTACTGTTTTTGGCATTTGCTCGGAATAAGTTTAAGCATATACAGGGACAATTCATGCTCCAGTTATACTGAAATGAGCTGTTAGTGGCACCATCAATGTCCAATGCACTGTCAGTTCTGCCTGACCATGTGCAATCAAAAGAAAAGTAGAAAGAAGAAGAGAAGATCACACATTAGACTTCATTTGTACCAGGGCATCAAATGCCTGCTGCTATTGTTTGTTTTGACATTACTTTCCTTTCTCTTCTCCCCACTTCTTTGCTATCCTTATTGGCTTATTAAGCAGTACACCCGAAGTGGCAAGGCATGCCTGATGACCATGGAATAATTAACTAGCATATCGTTACCACTGCAAATAATTAATTGTTCAAACTGCGTTTGATTTCAAGATTGCATTGCTGACTGATATGTTATAAATCAGCAACTAAATTTAGGTGGATCTTTCAGTAACTTCACAAGTCTGCATGAGTAAATTCCTAATATGTTACAATATACAGCGACATTATAATAATGCCTGGATAATGGATGAAGATAACTCCACCCTTCTGGAGAAAATAAAAGATGTAGGCATTGTCAGGGGGAGTATAGCATCTCTATAATTGGAAATAACTACCTTTGAGTGTTACACCTGTTACTATGCATGCACTTAACATGAAAAATACTGTATACCTTATGCTAGGTCCACTTTAATAAGAAAGGTAAAGTTCTCTATATATGAAGCAGAATTATTTACTGTCGCTCATTAGAGCCTTGGTAAGTTCTAGTTTCTGGATAACAGATCCTTTACCTGACCTCTTCTGAATTTGAATACTATGACATTTATTAGAGCCTGTCAAGCTGCGTGATACTGAACCTATAACATGAGCTCATATGTATGCTTTTACAGTCAATAAGAAGCAACTCAAGAGGAAAATATTCCAGAGAAATTTCCTCAATGAAGCTGAAACGATCTTCAAAATTAGCTGTGCAGGTAAAAATAAAATATTAAAGGAAAAGAAAATAACATTGTTTACTAGTTTTCATTCTGTATCTCATCCATATGTATGATCTATACAAAACCAAATATTTAAATTATATTGTCTATCATATTAAAGGTTTCAAATCAGCTGAGCAGCGGACAAGATATACCAGATGATGACAGCTCTCTGATAGATAAACCAATGTCTATGTTGGAGAAACTACATTTCATTGCTGGCAATGGAATCCTGCGTCCTGAAATTCGGTAATAATCATTTGTACTGAGCAAAAATGTGACATATCCTGTACTATATTAACTGTTTGTGAGACAGGGCTTCGGAAAGTGCCAAACTCAAAATCTTCATTAAGGGGTCAATTTCATGCTTCCTTTAAGATTCAAGTTAGTTATGTTGGTCTTCAAATCAGATCCAAGTAATTTTTTAAGTTGTTTAACCAGACTTTTACTTGCTTGTACTTTTTATCTTTTGCCTTGTTTCATCAAAATACAAAGGCACATTTGGGGGAATTTATCAAAACTGAAGCAGACAGAATCTGGAGCAGCTGTGCATGTATTTACTGACAACTATCAAAAAATTTGTACTCAGTATTAATTTGTTATATATTATCTGATAGAAGAACAGAACCCGGACCACTGTCGTGTGCGATTAAAAGAGAATCCAAGTTTACTGAGCTTATACTGTATATGTGGCACTTTAACATCAAAGGGGAAAGTCTTCGATTGTTTATGCTTCCAAGATATTCCATCTTATTAATTTATGCAAACAAGCTGATTAACATATGACATACCCCTTATTCATACCAGCCAAACCCACTTATGTAACACCATAGACATTCAAAACTGTGAATTTCCAAAAGACACGTTCATTCTTTAACTCTCTTGCTTGTCCCCACATAACAAACTACATGTATGTTTGGTTACTTATGGGCAAATCAAGTTGGCAACAGACTCTCTGTAGTTCAGGTAACACACAGTCGTCATCTCCTTTTCCAGAGGGTTCTTACAGATGTAGTGTAAACTCTAGTGGGAGATCTGTAAAAAAAATGGCATGTTGGTTTCTATGCCACATCCTGAGTTTAATTTTGACATTTACAGTCACAGACATGTTCAAAACAGGAGTAAATGCCTTTTAAAATTGCATATTATTTGCATACTCATAGGAAAGCATGAACAACAAAAAGGAACCTGGATGTGTCATTATAGGTATACTTTTTATCTTTTATTGAACCACAAAAAATATTGCCACCTCATTTCTCAATAGGTACCCACTGTAGGAATCACAGGGTTATTCACAAAAGGGTGAAGAGTTTGGAGAAAGCAGGAGAAGTGAACAATCTAGGACAAAATAGCTGAACTGGAAAAAAATCTCCAATTTAGCTCACTTTGGCCTAGATTGCTCACTTCTCCTTCCAAACTCTTTACCCTTTTGTGAATAACCCTGTCAGTATTTTAATGTTCTCAGTTTTTTTATAATGCTTCTGATGTGTTAGTATATTGACCACAAGATGGCAGTATCACAGATGTCAAATTGATCTGGGAAATCATTTCTGTTGATCTTGTATTTTAGAGATGAGATTTACTGCCAAATCTGCAAACAGCTCTCTGGAAACAACAATAAGTCTAGTTATGCGCGTGGCTGGATCCTGCTGTCTCTTTGTTTGGCCTGCTTTCCACCTACAGAAAAGTTCATCAAGGTAAACATCTTAAAGGAGTGAAACAAGTAACCAATTTCAATCAAAAGTATCAAAATTGTAACTGCCCACTAAAACTGTAAAGCTTGGTTTTGCTAAAACCTAAAATGTACTTTGATAGTAATCGCAAAGTCCTTTTATGACCAATGTTAACTTTAGCCCAGTGTATGTTTAGTTTTGGCTTGTGACGTCTGGTGCTGCATCTCATCAGCATATTTGTTAACGTGGAATCCACATCTCTTTGGACAGATTTTGTATGTTCTTCCTTTAAAGATAGTAAATAAAAAATAAACTATTAGAAAATATTTGGGGCATAAGTGCACATTGTAAATAGTGCTGCATCTCTGGTATCCAGAAAGATATGAAAGAAGGAGCAAAGGATAGTTACATACTAGATAAAAATAGGTTCTCCAATTGCTCATCCTGCAAATCCCTCCCTCGACTTTGCTTTTACCAACACAGTTGCAGTGTCTATTGTCCCTTTATAAGAAGAACAGTAATGATTGTAGAGCTCTGTGTAAAACTAGAGTGTGTTTCATTCTTTAGAATGTCAGGTGTGCGGGGGTCAGCTCTATTGCTGTGAGTCCTGTTTTGGTGGTTTACCCTAATTTATTAAACGTGATTACATTCCTGTAAGTGTAACATGGAAGTTAATTTAAGAAATGGTGCAATAGCATTGGTATGAAAGTGGAGTAATTTCCCAGATAACCAGATTCAGATTCTTTGATGTAACCCCTTGTTCTGGTTGACTGCTGCAATTTTACTCCAGTTTTTTTGTTTTGCACCAGGCTTCATATTGTTCTTAAAAATTAAACAACTCAAGGTCTAGGTAGTTTGAATTATGATTTTGAAAAGTAATTTACAGATGTCTTTTAGTTGCCATTAAAGGGATATCAACTTGCCTTAAAGTTAAAAACATACAAATTAATTAGGAATCACAATAAAAAATTAATATGTGCAGAGTTACAATGCAGAGTATTGGAAAGGACGAAACAAGGTAGCAACATTGTGCCCAATAAACCAAAACTCAACAGCTACTATTATCCCTCCACATGTGTTTATATTTCCTCATCAGAGCTGTATAGACATTAAAGGGGTTCTAAACCCTCCATTTTTTTTGCCTATAACTCCCGCGCCGAGAATCAGGAACTGCTGTGCGGCCGCAAAGGATCTTGGGGCGGGGCGCAAGCGCAGTTCGGATTCTTGGCCGGGAGACGAGCAGAGACGCAAGGTAAGTCTATGGACGCGTGCACCCGCATGCAGACACCACTGGATCGGAGGGACAGAGCAGTCAGCGCTGGATCGGAGAGCTGCCGCACCGCTGGAGGGACAGATGAAAACATCAGGAAAAAAGAAGAGCGGAATAAGAGACATCATTTAAGGTAAGTGCTAACATTAACATGGGGGGGAGGGAAAATGTTTTTGACTTTAATGTCACTTTAACCATGTTTCTATTTCATCCAAAGTTCATTAAATGTTAGGCAAGGCAGCCACATCTATCAGGTTATCAAGACTTTGGTTTAATTTTGAATCCTCATATATATATGCAAAGTCTAAACACATTACATAAAGACTCCTTTGTATTTAGCCTACTAAACATTGCAAACCAGACTTTTATTACATTTCCTTTTTGCAAGTGCCAAATGTGTTTGGCACTTCTAAAGAGGACTGTCCAATAATAGCATTAAAATACATTTAAAGGTCATCATGTGTGAAAGAAAAGAAACTATTCATTCCCTCATAAGTCAGAACAATACTGTCTGCACAAAGAACACTAGCAGCAAAACCCTTCTCTTAAAAAGTAATTGATCACTTCTTTAATAATGAAAGACTTATAACCTTTCAAATAAAAGTGTTAGTAGTCACTTGATCAGTTCTAGCAGTACCACTCTGGTGGATTCAGTCTGGAGGAGACTCAAATACTTATTAAAAACTGCTGTCAACAAAGTCACCGGTTTCAGTGTGGGCACAGAAGAGGAAAAGCCATTTTTTTAAAAAGCTTCAGTAAATTGTATAAACAGTATAAAGTTTGCTGCCCCTTACATGCCATTTTTGGATTAGAATAAAAAGGAGAATGTACAGATCATTTCAAAGAACTTTTCTATGTATGATTTATTGCTTTAAAATTAAGTTTTCCAGCATACAAAGAACTGTTTTAAGTGAAAGACAGTAGAATGTGTATGTGGAGAAAATCTACTAGCCTGCATATTTCACAGAAGAGCTGCAGACACTACTAGAGATAACAACCTTGTGCAACTACAGAACAGTCCATCTACAGCATGAGTAAATAACCAATATGGATAGTTCAGCTTGCTCCTCAACTTGCTCTCCCTGCTACCCAAATGCAGAGTGGACAGAGTTTCAAATAGTATAGTAAATTGGTTGCATGACATTGAAGTTCCACACACCCACATCCTCTTACTTGTTTTAAATTGGCATTCTAATTGTTTTGTCTCTTTGAGGTAGTATTGGTGCACACTCCAATGTAGTTGAAGCATGACACTTCCATCTCTATTCTGCTCTCACAGTACTTGCAGAACTTTATCCGTGGAAAGCAGATAGCACACAGTGCTGTGTGCATGAAACAGTTGACTCGAGTTATGGCTAATGGAGCCCGTTCAGAACCACCCAGCTGGCTAGAGCTACAGGTATTTATCATATAGCTTTAGCTGATCATCTGCATTCATAATTGCCAGCCAGTAATTGCAGGCTATAATTACAAAGCATTTCCTATCTCCTTGCATCTTATTTCTTGCCTGTCCAATTATATATGCTAATTCTTACATACTGTTGGTTACATTGTGGTTTTGAAGGTCCTAATAGTCATTAACTGATCAATGCCTAATCCGCTGTTGCCCATGCAGTACTTTGTTGTACTTACTGTGCAGCCCTGGGACCATAGCAACCAAAAGTCAGTGTTTTTCCTGGCTAGGTGATAACTCTGACCTAGTCAGAGCATGACCTGGAACAGTGTGTGGAGACATTTCTTGCACTATAGCCGTGTGTGTGTTTGGTGACATAGGGATAGCCTGGGGACTCCTTCCCTCTCTTTGTGCTGGGTCCTGCACTAATGAGGAGGTCAGTCAAATTCTTCTATGTAACACTAAGAAATCTGTGCTACAGTACCAGCACTGGCAGAACTGCTGCACCATACCATTTCATTTCATTTCATACCATTCTGCCCAAAATCAGAAATTAGGCCAGCAATGAAAAAATATTTATTATAATGGCTTCTGGTGTTTAAATTATATGATTGATTTATTTCTCACTATCTTACTTTTTCATTATCAGTCCATTTTATTTTCTCTTTTTTTTTTTTTTTTTAATTTGTTAATGAATCGTGCTGTGGTAAACACCACCTGGGCTAACAGTAGTTTTTTTGTTATGGAACTATAAGGGGCACATATAGTATATTAAAGTATTGATTTGTAAATGTGTTGTAATGCTAATTATATCTTTTGCAACATATGTCTAACTGTCTCCTACAACAAGTCCCTAATCTCCATCAACACTGGTAGCATGTCCACAGTCTCTGATGATCTCCTATGGCTACTCTGCAGCCATAATTGAGGCTCCTGATATCTCTATTAAGTTGGCCACCACTGGCCTAGTCTGTTTGCTTATGATTGTATGTGAAAACATTTTATTGTTCATATTTTTTTATTATTATTGATAAGAACCCAAGGGCCACCCCCTACTTCTTTTGCAGTAGATACTCTGTTGTGTAGATGCATTCCTATACTTGACAGATGTTTCTGATATGGGTCATAGCAGTCCCACTCCCTTTATGAATATGAACAGGTGTGAAGGCTCCTAGTGTGCCTGTAATCACATCACATCTATTTCATGTTCTTCTATTATGAACAAGGGCTAAAACGGAAGAGTCATGTACTTGGGGTAATCATTCTTTTATGGTTGGCTTCACAAGGTTTTACTTCTTATTTTGTTGTGTATGGCAAATTCCTCATTATTATATTTCCATCTCGTACAGCAAATGAAGGGAGCAGCATCTCTAGAAATACCTATCAAAATCATGAATGGAGAAACTGTAGTCATCCAATCAGATTCTGCGACCAATGCCAAGGAGGTCTGCAGGAGCATTTCCCAGGAGCTAAAGCTGACGGATACTTTTGGATTCTCCATTTACATATCAATTTATGATAAGGTGCATTAAAAGCTTTAGTATAATATACATTATGACTGTCACACTGCACACAAAGCCAAGTAGTCTGTGCTGAAACTGCTGAAGGATGATTTAGGAGAAGAGCTGTAAATTCAAATGTTTGTTCCTCTGCTGGGATACATCTTGTTCATATTGGAGTATTAAAATAAATGTACTCATTGAAACATGTATGACTCATTTATTTTAGTTTCTAACAAGCTTCCTAATAGTTAAAGCCCAACTCCAGGAACTATGTTTTTCCATAGCTTCAGTCTCTTTTTGCCCTCTTCCTCTAAAGTGCCTTTATTGTATTGTCATTACGGGCCGTGCTTCGTGAACGGCAAAGCAGAGATAGTGGAGGCGATACAACACCAGAACTGTTATCTGTAACACAAGCATTGGTGATGTCGGGAATTGCCAAGAAGTACAGTAGGAGCTGTACTTTCCAGACAGGGTATGAGGTGCAGGTTAAAGAAGCTTGCAGGATAATAATAACATTATTTTTCACTTTAAAGTAAAAGAGCAAATAATAACTGAAAATGTAGAAAAAGCATGGTGCCTGGAGTTGGTTTTTAAGGTTTGCAACTATCCTGCATCAAAACATACTAGTGCAAATACTTGGAGGACTCCTTTAATGCACAGATTAAATAAAGCATAGACAGGGCCATTGTTAATAGTTAAATCCTTTTCAATATCTATTAATAGAAGATAAACTTGATTTCATATTTTCTGCCTTGGTTTTCCGATTGCCTTCGGTGGTTTTGTGCCACATTTTTATTTCTTTTTATAGTAATGAGTAATGAGATTCATTCCACACTCAGATGTTGGTTTCATTTTGCTGATGCAGCTATCTAGTAAGTACAGAGGTTTATAGTTAATGCAGTAAATGAGTCTTCAACATGACCTTACCATGATCTTTTCTCTGTTTCAGGTTTGGTCACTGGGGAGTGGGTCAGAGCACATCATGGATGGTATATCTCAGTGTGAGCAGCTAGCCAGAGACCAGGGCGACCAAGAGAAACATGCACCTTGGCGCCTGTTTTTCCGTAAGGAGATTTTCACACCATGGCATAACTCTTCAGAGGATCCCAAGAGTACCGAGCTAATCTATAACCAGGTTATACGTGGCCTGTGTTTTGGAGAATATCACTGTGAGAAGGTGGGCTCTGATAAACAGTTATTTTTTAATTAAAAAAACAAATTTGTGTGTGATGAAAACACAGACGAATGGGTATTATTCATCCAAATCTAAAATTCCCTGGTTTGGCGGGGGAGCATGTCTCTCTGTTAAGCAGGAGAGAGGTGTTCTACATAGTCACTCTGGATACCAGGATACCTGACGGCCTTAGCTGTGAATGGGACACATCTCATTTTTATAATTAAAACAGATTAGTTTGTGTCTACCATGTTTCTCTTTCTGTGATTTGTTTTCTGCATTTTTTCTATCCCCCCCCCCCCCCCCCCGCGCAGGGCAGGTTTCTTATTTTTGATACCATGAAATTGCCACTGTAAACCAACTCAGCTGTTTCTTGCAGGAAGAAGACATGGCAGAGCTGTTGTCTAAACACTACTATCTTACATATGGGGTAATCTTGAAGGATGAAATGATAAAAAATGCTGTGAAAGACTGCGTACCATCAAAGCAACTGGCTAATAAAGGCACTCACTGGGCAAATTTGTTAAAAGAAACACATGCTAAGGTAATGCTCTTGGCAAGATATGTTTTAGTTACATTTTCTTTTTATCTGGTTATATGTTGGTGGTGATGTTAATCCCCAAAGTCCAACAGGGTAAAATGTATGTAAGCAAAAATTGAAAGAGTGATTGAAAAGCATAACCAGAAAGGAAAAACGTTTCCAGGGTCAATCCTCTGATGTTGTCTATTTGTGACCCCTTTCTGCTTGGTGATGCTGCCTCCCGATTGCCTCTGCTTCAGATTTACCCTACTGTCCACCATTAAATTTTTTCAAGCCAAATTCTTCTAAAACTATACCCCTCTTTGTTGTCAACTTCCATATTAATCTAACCTCTCTTTATTCCACCCACTCTGTATGTGTCATTTTCCCTCCACGTTTTCTACTCTACCGTGTCCACTCTTCTGTCCACCTTATCTCGGTGTTAGGTCACTTCTGACTGTAGACTGCCAATTCTTTCTGCTTGCCTAAGAACCAGACTGTGTAGACATACCCTCTAAGATTCTAAGTCAGGTGCTAGACTGCCAATAAGAGTTCCATGTCTCTCACTACACTTGCACAGTACCTGGCAGGGAAATATAACAGGTCAGAATTTGTCTAGTGGAATTTGTGACCAAGTGGGTTGTTCACAATGTAAGGTGGTTTAATGCATTCAAGAAATCTCTGAGAGTGGTCATCTTTTCTTATGTGGTAAGGTCTAACATCAGGAGAACCATGTTGATCTTTTTTTCCTGGCAGTAAGGCCCACTCAGGCTCAGGGGATGCCTGGGGATACCATGACAGTTGCCCCCTCAGTCTCTATGTTTCATTTGTTGTTGCCTGCTCACTGTGGCACTAAATTCTTCTGTCCTAGGCTATTATACACCTGCAGCTATCATGCTGTTATAGTTAAGGCGCTGTGCCACCAAAGATCTTTGTGAGTACATAGCTATAAACTCTCAACTTTCTTCCCAATTTTCTGTATTCTAATCACTCATCTCCTATTGTTATGATATAAATAACTCACTTTTATCAAATTTGTTTATTTGCTTTATGTTTAATTAATTGAATTTGGCTTTTAAGGGAGTTATGCATGGACATTATATTACTTTTTTTGGATGTGAATGTATTTGCAGTGGATACACAAGTGTTTTATGAACTATATAGGAAACCTACAAATGTTTTTTTGTACTATGTAGGACATCTAAGATAGGAAATTATTTGCTTAGAGCAGATTCTGGACACCTATACATGTTATCAGAGGAATACCCGTGGGACAATTCACTAGAATATGAAGGATAGGTAGCAATGATAGCGGTTTTAAATATGTTGCAGAAAGTATGCAACATACATTTCTTGCTAGGGGGTGACTGAAAGAGCATACCAGATAGTTAGGTATAAAGATAGGATGTAATTAGTACATAAACAGAAAAAGAAGAAAGCACAAAGAACAGGGTGAGTTTTTTTCTACAGAAATTAGTTTAGAGTATGAGAAGGTGAGGAAAGTAATAGGGAGATAAAGATATATTATGAGGGTGAGGGATCGATTAAATGATCACTTACATGGTGTTTTTTTATTACATAAATATTTTATTACATAAATAACTTTAATGAGATATATAAAGGACAACACACTTGTTTGAAAATTCAGATTATAAAAAAGGTTATACCGCATAAAAGAGGAGGGGATGTGTAAAAGAGAGTTTTTTGGGATATTTATGATGAGCACTAGAATCCCCTTAGGATTGAATCTTAATTGGGTTTTGTTTTTTTTACCAATGATTTTGAATTAATTAATTAATATAGTAATATAATATTGATGATTATGGGAGGTATATTACACGTCATAAGTCAGTAATAGTCTATATGGAACTTTTTCTTGTTAACTTATAAAGTGGTCTGGATATTACACTAAGTAGTGATCTTAAGTTTATGTTATATAATAAATTGGGGCCCATTCACACGAAAGACGCACAGTGGGTGTGTGGAAAGAGCAGTAGCGTTTGCATAGGGTTGTATTGTGTTTTTTTTGTATCTGTGCGTTTAGTGTATGTTGGTTGGCGCATCCAGGCACATTGGATGTGAAAGGGTCATTGCACATTTATTGCTTATGTGATCACAGAGATGTTGATTGTATAGAGGACTTACTTATTTTGTGTGCAGTTGTGGCATCTTGTGGGTTAACACCCATAGGTGGGGAGGAGTTTTTGGTAGGGGTGTTTTCCTATAAATGGCTATGCTGTGGTCACATAATATGGTTAAAATATGATTAAGCACAAGTATGCGTGAGATTTTTTCTGAGACATACAATGTATGCTGATTGATGAATTAAAGATTAGATTATACACCGATATTCAACAGATATGGGAGCAGAGGCGGCTCTAGAGTTTGCGAGGCCTTAGGCGAAACCTAAACATGAGGCCCCGCTCAGGCCTGTGGGGTCTCACCAGGGTTCTGTGGGGTTTAACCAGGCTGGTGAGACCCCACAGAGCCCCAGTAAGACCCCCAAAGAGCCCTGGTGAGACCCCACAGAGCCCTGAGCCACTGGCCGAATGGACGGACCGAGGACACAGATAAGCTCTCAGCCCTGTCGCTGTCAAACGGAGAGTCTCCGTTTGACAGCGACAGGGCTAAGAGCTCATGACGTTACCTGGCTATGCACCCTGTCAGCAGATCCAAGTGGGCCAACCTAGAGCAGCACCTATTACATGCGCTTTGGAATCTGGGAATTTGGTTTAAGTTCAACTTTTGCTAGACCTGGTTAAATGTTAGAACGTCGGCAACATTTTTCCTTATTATAGATATATTTCCCCTTCCTTCCCCTACATTTCTAGTTCTGTCTAATTGCTAATCTAAGTTCCATCAGGACAGGAAGTGAAGGGAAATCTGCCTTATGGGCACACGTACAGCAATACAATTCTGAGAGAAGTAAACCTTCCTATTCTACTAGAGGTGCACAGAAATGAAAATTTCAGAACCGAAACAAAACCGAAATTAAATGTTAGGCCCGAAACCAAAAAATGTTTTATTTTAACTTTTTCAAATTTTTTAAATATTTATTTTTTTATAAACTTTTAAAACATTGTTATATTTATTTTTATTTTTAAAAAAATGTTACTTTACTTTTAGGGGCTTCGGGGAAATATCAGGGGTCTAGACAGACCCCTGATATTTCCCTTTTAAAATAGAAAAAGAGATTGAGGACACGGAGTCCTCAATCTCTTTTTCTGCAGCCCCTGTTATAAATGAATAGAAATCCTCTATTAGTGTTCCCGTTCATTCATAACATGAGGACAGAGTATGTTTACTATATCCACAATCATGAATGAACAGGAGCTGATGTAGATCACTTCCCGTTCATTCATAATTGAGGATATAGTCAACATAAATGTCCTCAATTACTTACAAACTGATCGCTGAGTGTTTGTACCACTCTCCTTCCTGACACTTATCACATGCTCTCTATTACAACCATCAAATAGACAGGCAGAGAGGTACACAGACAACATTAAAAAAGTTCCTATTCTATCCAAAACTAACACAGAAATTTTGGCTGAAGTTGAGCTTACGCAATGGTGAGATAATTGGAGGTGGCTGGAGGAGTACATAAGGTGCTTTTCTTGAAGAATGGCTACTGACTCCCTACAATAGTCATATTGTAGGAAGTATAATATATTGGCAAGGATCTAATGGTCTTCCAATATATGTTTATGTATTACAGGCTCAGTTTGTGACAAATAAGACTCCAGTACCAAAAGTAATGGAAACGGTAGTGGATTACTCATGGCTCCAGTGGCCTCTGTTGTTTTCAAAGTTCTTTGAAGCATCCAAGTTTTCAGGTAAGATAGACTACTATTATGTGCAATTTATATTATAACTGTTATGTGTTGGAAATGCAGCAGCATATGATGTTATGTCTTTTGAGCTGTAGATGGCACTGTAGTACAATGTTAGTCTATCTATATGCATGCTTATCTATGATACACAGGATGTTTTTCTATATATGTTTTCTTCACAATGCCATATTCTGATGTAATATTCTCTTAAGCCAGTAAAACTTAATTCAGCATTCCTCAAGATCTCAGTACTTCATCTAAACACATAACCAACATTATGTATCTACAGTAGTCATGTTTATTCATCTCAACCATCTCTTGCAGGCCCTAGTATCAACAGGAACCATTTCATTGTTGCAATACACTGGAAGGGGGTCAGTTTTCTAGATGAAACTGAGAAGAAGCTGCTGGATCTTTCTTTTCCTGAGTTAATTGGCGTCCATACTAAAAGGTGAATTCAGACGGAGTAGTGATATACTCTTTGGTTTTTGTTTTAGAATTGTTATTCTCTTGAAGTTCATTAAAAAGACAGTTCACCAAAAGTTATATATTTAGAACCAGAGGACATACCTGTCCATTCGGATCTTGCAGTGGTTATGCCAAGGCTGCAGCCATGATCTTGGTGTCATTTTTTTAGAGCAGGTGGAGGGCATTTGAGTACAAGGAATCTGGGCAGCTGTATCTGTGCTTAGTCGTCTGTATTGGAGAGCAGGGGAGACATGAAGGGACTAATAAACTCCTGATGTCTCCATAAAGAGAGCCCATCCCCTCCCAATGCTATCACATAAGGGCTTTTAAAAAAAAAAAAAGGTAATGAAATAAAATTAAAAATACAACTTTACACGTAGGGAATGCATGTGTATGTAAACTGCTATTGCACTAATTTGGCTCCTCATTGATACTGGTGACATGAACTCTTTAAATTCTGGGATAAGCCCTTAATTCCACTACTGTATTTTCATTAAAGAGGGAGGTGGCAGTTGGGCAGTGCTTAGCCCAAAATGTATAGAATTGAAGTCCAAAGACACACAACAGAGGCTTTCCTGGCTAAAAACGTAATAGTGGTGCCTGCTCCTAGGCTAATATTTAGTTTTAAATGTTAAAAGTGGATTATAGGTTTATTTTTAAAGCTGAACCAAAGTCGGTGTTGTGGAGGGTGGGCTTTTGCCATAATGTGCAAGTATGCACAGCATATTTCCAGCCATCACTGACATTAATGCACGGTCTTCTTCCGGGTTTTTTGCCTTCAGCTGCCTTGGTTTACCTGGGATGATGTAACTCATGTGCACAGGAGCTATTTCACCCCGACACCCAAAGCATGCTGAGAATGTACACTGAGCTAGCCATGCTCTGTTCAGTGTACACCCAGAAGTACATTTCTAGCAGATAAGGCAGAAGCTTTTATGACAGAAAATACATACACAGTCCCTTCTGAAATAAAAGTCTACATGCTGGCAATTTTCTAAAAAGTAATACTGTCTAGCAGTGCATATTGCCCCTCTATCTCACCTTCACGCTACCCATGCTTTCCTTTTATGAACCTTCCTGGACATGATAGATACCAACAGCTGCCTTTCCCTGGCTTAACCCATGTTCTTGTCCCTAAACTTCCCAAAACCTTACATTTTCCATGGTACATTTTAACTATCATCTAATACATTACATTTTCACCCTCTACACTTAGGCTTGCCTGGCTATGCTCCTTGTATCCTTTATACAGTATGTCATCATGCTTAAGTGCCGGCTATATTAACATGCATGCCTGTTTGCCATTTTGTGTTACAATTCCTGCAGTACCTTGTTTTCCTACATAAAGTATATATATTTTATTGTTATCTGCTGTTTTTCTACCTAGCACTCTCTATTTATGGTCTGTGAGCCATTTGAAATGTCCCTGGATATGCCTTTCTGTCCTAAATAAAAATGCACAATCAATTTTCATCGTCATTTTCAGAGAACTGTCTCTGACACAGGGAACTTACTAACAGTACAAGAAAGCAAAGTGATCTTGGATTCTTGTACATTGATGCACCTTTTTAGTCCAATCAATAGGCTGGGGCAGGCAGACCATGCTATATTGATTAGTGGTGGCAAAGAAAAGTGAGGTAATTCACTTGGAAATGCAGTCTTACATGGCTATGTCAATTTAAGGGCCTATTCACACCATAGCTTTGCATTAAACACACGGTACTGTGCATTTAGCGCATGTCATTGCACAGTCCATCTTGCATGTGATTCCATACATTAGGTGCGTTGCCATTCATTTGACTGGCATCCCAACAACCTTCCGGCAGCCATGCATTGCAGTGCAGCGCAACACGTGCTACTGCAAAACACACCTGGCGAACAGTACCATTGGGTGTGCGGTGCAGTAACAATGTGCTGTGCATTTAGAGTAATGCTATGGCATGCATGGGCCCTTAATGTGTCCTGCTTTGTTTTATATTAATATTGGAAATAAGTCAGTGTAGTTAACAGATTTAATAGATAGATATGGTTAGAACAGACTTGGAGAAAAGACATTAGGGCTCAGTTACCTTTGTGAAGAACTCTTGTGACATCATAAGACATATTTTGTAATTTTGTTTTAGGGCTGCAAAGGAGTTTGGTCAGTGCTGTGTTTTAAATACAGTTCGTGGAGAACAATTTGTCCTAACATCACAGAACAGTGAAGACATCTCTAAGCTGCTTCTTTACTTTGTGGATGGCCTGAAGAGCAGATCTGTATATGCAGTGGCCCTGCAGGACAGCTTCCAAACAGCAACTGAGAAAAACAACAAAACAGGTGTGAGCCAATGTCCCTGCTTTGTGAAAACAAGGAACATCTATATTAAAATGTCTGTATCGCCCATTGAGGGACACAGGAATTCAGTCATTATAAATTTGTCAGGCTATATTGCCAACTACTGGATGTTTGGACACTGGCAAATAAGAAAAACATTTAAGCCAGCACTCGTATAATTCTGTTTCTAAAAGTCATGCCTCGTTTTCTTGCTTGTAGACTAGAAGCTTGGTTACTTTTTCTTTAGCTGAAAAAAAAAGTTGAACTATATTTTTTGTGCTAGCCTTTTATTCTTTTTTTTATCCTTTTGCTGCTCCTGCTGCTGAAGCACCACGTGGATCATCAGCCTCTGGTCTCTTTCAACTGCTTGCAAACATCAACTTGGTCAGCTCTGGCCGCCTATGACCCTCAACAGCATCAGCTGCATGGGTCTTTGAGTATGCAAGTCCTTGTCTTACTTTGGGCCTAGTTATTCTCTACTATACTGTGCAACATGTGTTCTCAAGGATGCACTGAAAACAGTGCCACTGCTACGAGTGACCTCAGCCCATACTTTCCCACTAGTTCTGGCTGCATTTGTCCAGTATTACCGAAAGGAACCAATGTCTACAGTCTAGAACCTGGGACCCTTATTATTATAAATCATCCTCATTGGGGTCTTCTTCAGTACTGTCATGTGAGGTCAAAGCTTCCCCAATGTCCACAAGGACCTCTATGTCCATTGTAGACTTTTTGTCTGTTTATGCCCAAATATTAGCACAGCAGTATACTCTCAGAGGCACTAAGAGCATTACTGCACAATCCCTGGCAGAGTTTAGCTCTTACTCTTCTGGGCCTTCAAATCAAAATGTGTCAGAGGCCCCTGCTTTCCATCTCTGATTCAGAGTTGAAAGGCTGTTTTTAAGCTGCTTGAAGATGACTCAGTTTAACAAGGTAGCTCATAACCTGGGACAGTCGTTCCTAATCTGGCTGATGCAGCACATGCTACCCTGTATTTAGAGGATCAGTTTGCAGTTCCAGGCTTAATGTTTTTTAGAACAGCCAAAGACCTTTGCGTTACACCCACTGTATAGATCATAGTTTTGGCTGGGTTTATCATATCCTGAAACCTCTGAATCCTGCCTTGTTAGGAACCTGTTTTGTCCACTGGGACTCATACTCCTCTTGTCCTTGTCCTTCACATATGTCCTTCACATATGATTTCACCCCTTGTGGTACTTGATATTTTTCACCCTTCCATCTATGTTAAGGAGTCTGGTCTCTGACCAAGACACCAAAACGGTCTCTTTGGACCATTATGTTTTGGACACTGATTGCTGGTCTCTAGTAAGGGATGGAATGCCCCCCCCCCCTTATTCCCACCCCCAGAGGACTCCTCTGATGGATGTATTTTCTTCTCTGGCCCATGTGTCTGCTTCCATGGAACAGGCAGTTCTTGAATTGTCAGGAAACTCTTTGGGTTTGTGATTTGACATAACCTTTGCTGGACATCACAACCTTCTTCTTCAGAAAGGTTACAGAATTTTCCCTGCCACAGGTCTGACTTGCTTTTTACACTGAATAGTGCTGAGTGTGTTGTTCATGACTTCACTGTTTTTCCTAGAATCAGGGTCTACCTTTAGAATCGACTCAACAGATTATTTCTATTTGAATGGTGAGAGATCAGTACTTGAGTGCTTTTTTTTTTGCTTGGAGGGAAGTATCAATTGCTGGACTGTCCTGTATTCTCATAGATGGTCAGAAGACAGGACTCAATTGGACCATGTTGTAGATTTTTCCTGTGGAAGATATTATAAATTCGGAGGCCTTCATGGGACCGATTAATTGGCAGATACTGTTTTTTTTCCTTCTGCATCTGAACTCTGGTCTTCATGGTAAGTCTCTACAGATTCCTCCCTCTCTCCTATCCTCAATCAGTACAAAGTTCCTAGTAGTAGCAGTAGAATAGCTACTCCTTGCTTGCTCCATGGTAGAGGATGCTACTCCCTTCAGGGGTGGGTCTATTACTCCACAGGTGCACCCCAGGTGTTTTCTTTCAAGAAAGCTTTCTCTTCCTTCTGCTCCTGGAATTCTTGCGCTCCAATCTGGGTTATGATATACCCTTATCCCTGCCTACCCTTGTGCAGGTGTTGTTTATCACTCTATCTTCTCCTTTAGGAGGATTCAATTTAGTACCCTTCAGTTTCTACAAATCTTGTGGTTGATTCCCTTCCAACCATTGGTTACTTCATGAGGAATCTCTGCCAGAATACCATTTGCATAGAGTTTGCATGTTCTCACTGTGCTTGTGTGGGTTCCTCCCACACTCAAAAGACATGCTGGTAGGTAGATCCAGGTGTTGATTCCTTTGTGCAATGATCTCCACATCTGTTGGACCTCTCAGTTGCTGTTGCCCACTCCTCAGTTGGGCTGCTTTTGGACATCCTAACTGTTTTAGAATTACTGAATGTATGTGTCCTTTAAGGAATGATAAAGAAAATAAGATTTTTGCACTTACCATAAAATCTTTTTTGTGAAGTCCATTAAGGAACACAGGTCCCATCTCTTTGTGTTATTAGCCCTATGCACTGCTTGCTCACAAAACTGTGGGGAGATTATATATGGCTGGCTTTGACATTTTATGTTTGCCAGTGTCCTAGCCTCCTGTAGGCGGCAGTATAACCCAAATATTTCATACTTATTGAATTCCTGTGTCCCTCAATGAACTTCAGGAAAAAGATTTTATGGTAAGTACGAACATTTTATTTTTGTTTTGGATAAATTAGGAAATGGATAAAAACCAGCCAGTTTTTTCCATAATTTTAGTCCCATTGGGAAGTTTTCCCCTATCTCCATTTATTAAAGACACAACAGGATGTAACAGGATTTCTCTCCTAATTGAGGGAACTCTCCCCTTTGACAGTTGTCACTGAAAAAAAGGCGGGTCACAAGCTGACGATGGTTTAGTAGCAAGGCTGTAATCATGTGGCATGTGCTGACCAACCAAAAAAGCCCTGCCTTTTTTGGGGATGTTGGATGGTCTCAGACCTATGGTAGAACAACTGATAATACAGTTATGTAATTTTCCATATGTAGTCTTGTATACAAAAAGTAACAACTGTCATTATTCCATCACAAATTATAGACTATAGGTGTTTCTCAAAATCTACATCTTTAGTATTTCTCCTTTACTGGAATTTTTGTAGTGACACCTGACATCTTTCACCATGTAGCCATATATACATATATTTGAAACAAGGATTCCCTCTGAGACGCTGCCATGCATGGGGTCCTATGTACACAATGGTCAAAACTGCTAGTGGCAGTATCTATATTGTTGACCATCTTACTTATTGGAGAGTAATTTTCCATCAGACACATGCATACGTTTTGATGATGAAAGAGGACGCAGAATGTCCACAAAGAGATAGCATTTTATTCTTTTATTGTTCTAATTAACTACTATCAGCCTATAAAATCAGCCTGCTCTAACACATTCCATTAAGAATAACACATATACCATTATTTTTCTAGATGAACCTGAGCTTTTGAGTTTTCGGAGTGGAGATCTGCTGCTGCTTAACAAGAGTCCAGAATTCCAATCAGGGTTCAACTGGACCTATGCCAAGAATGAGAGAACTGGCAATAGTGGGGCTGTGCCTTTGGATGCTATCCATATTGTACCAAGCCTTAGCAAACCCACCCCTGAAATAATAGTAAGCTTTTGCACAACCTTTCTATATAAAACAAATGTGCTTGTTTAATGAACCTGTGTGGGCAACTGATGATGTGTTGTGATCAATAGCATTCAGCAAGATTTCTTGCTGAAATCAGATTATTGAAAGATGAACTCTCGGTAGTAGGTGTTGAAAGTTAGAAAAATGAAGTCTAATATGTTAGCGCACTCCTAGGGTTGTGTGATGTGTTAAGGGTGGTGTGATGTGTTAAGGCCGGTGTGCGACTCCTTGTCTTATTAGACCGAGGTGTCTAACTGTATGAAGTCAAACAGAGAAGGAAAAAAGGAGCGCAACTGACTGGCACAGGGCACAATGGTGGTGAACTCTTCTGATGGGGTGGGTTCAGTGATGGGACACCTCTGGTGGTGTGGTCTTGGGGGGTCTAGGTGTTGCCTACTTCTCTTTGTGTTTGAGTTTTACTTTATTGAATACCCTGAAATGTGTCCCATATGAGGATCCTGCTCTAAAATGAGATCCGGGACTTTTAAAATTATAAATATAATTTTCAGTTAACATATGGATGTGTAGAATTATGTTTACTTAGTGGCACATTCCTAAAAAGCAGCTTCAACCAACAAACAAAGGTAAACAGTGAACTATTAACGGTGTCCAATAAACACTGCAGCTGTACTAAAGTTAGAAAGTCCTTTTATCATTGTTGTATAAAAACGCAGTGCAGCCAGATTTATTGAGTTTGTCACTGGGCTTCTGGGGCCAATCTACAGCATCTTACCATATGATTATGTGCTGAACAGAAGATAGTGTATAATGACTTGGATTCAGGATCATGCAGAAGATGAGGATCCATTCTAAGGGCCTAGCGAGTGACCATGTGATCATGGTGAAAACAAGGATGAAAATTAGAGCCAATTATCAGATAGGCTGTATCCTCTAAATCAGTTGAAAGAAAACCTGACATAATAGAAACATGGAGACTACCATTGTTGCTCTCTCCTTTTGAAAATGCTAATTGGCTGGCTATCATGCTAGCCCTTTGGCTTCAATAATTTTAATTTCTGACTCAGAACAACACTACTAAATGGTTTATGTTAAATGCACAATTGTGACTGAATAGAGCAAACCTTTATGAATGACATATGCACAATATGCTGTTATTTACTTTCTATTAGTACTTTTTTATGCACCTGCATAATAGCATTGAGAAACTTGTCATGGTGCAACCAAATTTAAATTGTTACTAGCCATTGTCAAACTCTCTGTTTTAAGAAATAGAAGACATTGACTTGTATTTCTAACTATGGTCACACTAAAAGAGTAGAATGAAATTGGCATTACAAATGAGCATTAAGAAACACTTTTGTTGTCATTCGTTGGATTAGTTGAAATATCTGAGTCAATATTAACAAGATATGTGTTCATAGACAAGAGATGATCATCAACCATTTTGCTCACTTATGGTTGGAATGGCAAGTGTTTGTATGTATTTGGACACTCTGCAGACACCCTTCTGACCAATCAATTTTTAGAAAAAAAATCAGTTGATTTGCCCTCGATATTCCATTCTTGAGCCATCAATAGTGGTGTCTACTCTCAGAAGAAACAGACATGCTCAGTTGCAGATAAGTATTATTTTTTCTGCATTTTGGTAACCAGCAGGTTATATATGTAAAACAGAGGATATAAAATAAACTAACCTGGATATTGTGTCATGTTGTGTTTTGATTTTATAATGGCAGTTCTATGTTTTCTTTACCTGTTATAAATTGTACATATACTCAAAAATGTATTTTCCCATTTTCTGTTTCAGCGACTGATTGCAATGTCTCCTGAACAGCGTAAGTCAGAATTTGTTAATACTCAGGTTGACGACTTTGGCGAGGCAGAAGAGGTAAAGCCATACACGCTGGAGGAATTTGCTATGCAGTATTTCAGGTATAAAAATAACACCAACGAAGAAACACAGCATCTTCATACCATATGATATCATAGTGCTATATATGTATGTAAATGATTAATGGTGACATTATGTATGCTCTGCAGGCCTCCCGAGCCAGAGTCTGTTTCCAGGGCTTTCCTCCAGAGATCGCGAGGCAAGACTCAACTCTGGGCTTACTCCAGGGAGCCCCTCAGACAGCCTCTGCTCAAGAGGGTGTGTGATATACCTGATCTACAGGATTATGCGTGCCAAGCCTTTACTGATATCCTTTCCTAATGCACCAGACTGGTACTCATATAAAGGACCCAGAACATTACTTCAGTTGAACCTATTGAAAACCTGTAATAAAAGAAATATGTAGATTGCCCTTGCAATCTGCCTTTGGGGAAGACCAACCTTCTCCCCCTCATAATTGCTGTTTGCCTTGTTTTCATGTTGATGACTTGACTTCTATACATTTTATCTCACTGACTTGGGACATGTACAGAGATCATGGATCCTGAATTTCATTTGCTGCAATCCTGTTCCAAGTCAGTAAGTTGGAAGTATTGAAGCCCAAACAGCCAATACTATAATTTTCCAAAGTAGGCCAGCAATGGCAGCGTTTGTATTGTACATTTGTAAATCAGTCAAAAAGTAATCAGTTGTACAGTACTCCTGAAGCAGGTTTAAAATGAGATTCAGATGAGGAAACACAAGTAAAGGTCAGTGAAACAATTAAGCTAATTTTATATAAGTCAAGGAAATAAAAGCAGAGGTGTGCAGTAAGCAAATTTTGACAATGTAATTTCGTCCTTTAATCTGTCTTTAAGCAAATTTGTGACAGCCCAAGTAAGGTTATAGCAGCATTTAAAACTTGGCATTAAGACCATTATGTAATTAGATAAATTATTAATTTATATTTTCTCCCTCTGTGTGATTAAATTCACCATCAGAAAAGTGACCCGCAGAGTTTCAAAAATATGGTCATTTCTGCAAAACTGTTCTGCCACCAGAATTGCCATTCTTAATAGTAAATTACGTCATCCACTGACATCGTGTTTGCCCATCTCACCCACAATAGAGCCCTGTAGAGAGACATTGCATACACATAATCTGATATACCACATAGTAAGACCTCTGCAAGAATGTGACCCTAATTATGTGTACCTGCTGAGATTGTGATACAGGCACAGTTATTGAAGTATATGAGTCTGCAGGTCTTGCACCATTTTTGCAGAAAAGAAGATGTGCCATTCTTGGATGGGTTATTGTGGACAATTGTCTGAAGCAGCAAACTGGTGAATTGCAGCAGTATGGCATGTTTCCATCTTTGGGTACCCCCTTTATCTTAACCTCAGCAGCCCCTTTCCCTGCATTAACTCCTGTATGTACCAACTTTCTGGATACAAGTGAGGTCCATCCAGCACTAAACATTTGCATGTTATATGGTGCATGACCAGTGTTATTATAAGATTATTATTCCATCCACTGGTTGACTTGGTGGAACTTGGACTGCATGAAGAACTTATATATAAATACATATACTGTATGTATAGGATCGCTGAATCTGCTGTGTGCCACAGTGACACACACTGGCTTTAACGTTAACATTTTTAAACCTTTTACTACATGCTGTTTATTGCACTTTATTAAACCTTAACATGTTTTACCTATTATGAAATACATGGGTGACTATCCATCAAAGCAGTCTCGCTCCCTAGTTGAACTCACAGATCAGATCTTCTCAGGACCCATAAATGAGGAAGCTCTAAGAGATGAAATCTATTGCCAGATATTAAAGCAAATGACAGGAAACAACAACAGGTAATAAATATATTTTAATGAAAAAAAAGTACATTGTTGTATAGATATAGGACTACATTAGTAAATGAGCGAAAAGAAATACAAATAGCTTAGGTTTAATTGAAGGAGACATTTATAGGTGCCAAGATACGAAAAAAATAAGGAACCAAGGTCTTTTCCCTTTAATATTAATTGTATGCATGGGGCTTTCATTTATAAAGTAACGTGACTGGCATGAGGGCCTTGGGATATATTTTGGTGAGCATGGGTAGATATTATAACTACTATCTGCTCCATTTCTCAACTTCTCAGAGACTGAACTTATTACACACTTGCAGGTAGGAGCATACATATATTCATGGCTTTATTCATACAGTATGTGAATCAAACACATCAAAAGTAGCTTAGTGCCTGAACTTACCCTCATGCCAATGCATCTATGACAGCCTTTGTTTATCTCTATGATGTTCAAAGCTTTTTCCCCATGTGGTGCATGTTAGCATTATGGGAACATCTGTGGCCTAGAACTACATAGCAATAAATCCTTGTATACACCAAACTCCACAGCAATAGCTATGAGAAGATAGTCCACCACACTCTGTGAGTGATGCAGAACATGAAGGTAAAAGATGCAACTACACCAGTGGTACAATAAACGGTCAGTCTACCCAGAATTGGTAAAACTGCAAAGCCCAACTCCCCCTGTTTCTCAATCATATCATAGAAAGCAAATTGAAAGTTTTAACTGTTTAAGTATGTGATCTGATAAAAGTACAATATATATTTTGAGGGCTCATGGCTTGGCCGCCTGGGGCCCATGATAGTTTTAGTATGCCACTGGTAATGCTATGCATCTAACAACATTTCTGATGGTTAACGTTTACCAAAAGTGTCAGCAGAATAAATATTTTTTGCAGTTCAAAGGATGTATTCTTCCTTTCTGCTTTTATATGTATTGTGCCATTGTAACTGTCACCATACCTTTTCAGCTGCTGAATGTCAGTTTGTATTTGTTTCCAGCTATAGCATGACCAGCGGATGGCAATTGCTTTGGCTCTGTACGGGGCTGTTTCCACCCAGCAAAGTTCTGTCGAATCATGTTCAAAAATTCACTGAGAATCGTCGAAAAGAGCCATTAGCCAAGGACTGCAGACAAAGAATGCAAAGAGTGCTACAGTAACAACTGTTCATTTATATATAGAGTTTTGACCTACTCATCACATGTAAAGACTTCACTCATTAATAACTACTTGTTAATATTTAATTTGCACAAGGTTTTGTAGAAAAGAGTTTAGAATATCACTCTTATTTTTCGTGATCTATTCAGTCACATTTAATGTTACACATATATATGCACTGTAGGAAACATTTAAGCAAAACGTCTTTAGCGTACATATGTTTTTGATTACTGAAGTCAAACAGTGTTAGGTAATTAGATTGAACTCAGGGTGATAATTCATAAACTCTAGTCCTAGCTGTTTAATCTTTGTCTAACAGAACTGGTCCCAGGAAACACCCCCCTCACTTGGTGGAGGTTGAAGGCATACAACAGATGAGCACCAAGATCTTCCACAAAGTGCACCTGCCAAATGACACAGAAGAAGTATGTGTGCTCCCTGAACATATTTGTGACACATCAGTGCTTGTCATTGTTTCTGTGTTATCCCGTACCCTGATGCGTACCTTTTCCTTTGTATGATGAGTGATAGTACTGTGAATACATTTTCTGATGATTGGTATTTTCTCTTTTTTTTCTGCAGACATTTGAAGTTAAGACTAACACAAGGGTGAGAGAGGTGTGTCAGAATATTTCCAACAAACTGCAGCTGATCTCCTGGGACGGCTTTAGCATCTTCTTAAAGTTAGGAGACAAGGTAAATTTGAAATGTTTAATGTTGTCCTCGTTCTAACCTAATGTGTCACCTTGGTATTAAAATAGAAGGCATTGCCCTCATATAGCTCTGTCTATAGCAGGGGCGGACTGGGCCGGGGGGCAGGGTGGCAGTTGCCCCCCGGGCCTCTCTGATCCCGTGTTGTAATTTACATGGCTGACGAAAGTGGCAAGGGGGGTGGGGAGCACGCAGGGGAAGAGGGAAAGCAGGAGGGGGGCTCAGTGGGCCTCTGGGTGTTACTTGCCCCCTGGGCCAAAAGTTGCCAGTCAGCCCCTGGTCTATAGCATGAAGATTCTAGGCTGACTTTAATTTTTTCCTTTATTATTCCATGTAAACACATAATGGCAAAAATACAGCAATTGCACCTCATGTGGCTGCTAGGGGGCTAAGGGCAGAGGGGGACCTAGTCCACATCAATAAAGGGATTGTGAAAAAATAAGTTGTCCATGGTTGCCAAACAAAACGTAGGATTTGTTCATGTGTGTCATTTAAGACAGACATTATTTCTCATGAATCATAGTACCATTGATCTGATTTCTGACCTCCTCAAAATTCATTCCAAGCTCTGACGATGGTAATTTTAGTGACTGTAAGGATGAGCATGTACAGAAACGAGTTTGGATGGGTTTATTAAGTATTGCCTCCCATATATTTTTCCGAACATTACTGTTAAGTAGTTAGCAAATAAAATTATTATTAAAAAGAGTATACTTTTATAAAATTATTATAAAAGTATACTCTTATCCATAATCTGCTTACGCTGGGGCAGGTCCACTAGATATTTGCCATTGTGCTAGGTTCAATGCAACCTCTAAAACATGTGGATAGATAAGTAGGAATGTACTAGCCAGGGGTGCAGAAGTATAGTGCGACTTAAAGAAAACTTTGTAAACGGTTTTCTGGGGCTATTAAATTTCCAGAACTGTTTACACTTGTGGCCCACATTTCTAGCCAGTACTCTGGCTTCAAGTTTAGTTCCAGTTCTGTCTCTCATTTGGTTTGGTTCTTTGCTGGGCTAGATCCTCTTGAGGACATAAATGATATAAGGCCCAGGGAGTGGGCAAGGGTATATGAGGGGAGATCAGGGTTTAAAAGGATGACATTGGTAAACAAAGAAAGTTTGTGGGCTCAGCCAGCTATTTCCATCCCTTTTAATGTATTTTTGTTCTGCCTAATATGCTCGGCCAACGGCTCTATGGCCAGTATAGATAGACAGAATTGAGGACAGAGAACAGCCTTGTCTTGTGCCTTGGTCTATAGCAAATAGCAGGGACTCAAAGCCTTAATATTTAAGTTTTGCCTGTGGGTTGGTATAGATTGACGTGATCTAGGCTAGGAAATCATCACCAAATCCTCTGTAACATAATGCTTTAAATATGTAAGATCAGGAAAGTGTATCAAATACCTTACTTATATTTAAGGATAAGAGCATCTTTTCTTGTAAATTAGGTTTAGCTAAATGGGAGGGATGTAATATTTGACAGATTTGGTTTGTTGTGTGGGAGGCAAAACATTTTTCAATGGAATGTCAGTATCAAATGACACTATCTGTATAAACACTCAGGTTTAGTGTACATTATGTCTTTTAAGTGATGATTTTCTGATGCAGGTTATCAGTATGAATGAGCAAGATTACTTCTTTGATTCCCTGAGGCAGCTGAATGACTATATCCGGAAGAGCCGTCCCACTGCAGGTGAGCTAAATATTTTTTTGCCCAGTCTCTTTCTTATGGTGGAGTCATGAACACTGGCCTGAAATGAGGCAAGTGAGGCCTGCAGTTCTTTGGATGTTGTTGTGGGGTTTTTTGTGACCTCTTGGATGAGTCGTCGCTGTGCTCTTGGGGTAATTTTGGTTGGCCGCCCACTCCTGGGAAGGTTCACCACTGTTCCATATTTTCGCCATTTGTGGATAATGGCTCTCACTGTGGTTCGCTGGAGTCCCAAAGCTTTAGAAATGGCTTTATAACCTTTTCCAGACTGATAGATCTCAATTACTTTCTTTCTCATTTGTTCCTGGATTTCTTTGGATCTCGGCATGATGTGTAGCTTTTGAGGATCTTTTGGTCTACTTCACTTTGTCAGTTAAGTCTTATTTAAGTTATTTCTTGATTGCGAACAGGTGTGGCAGTAATCAGGACTAGGTGTGGCTAGAGAAATTGAACCCAGGTGTGATAAACCAGAGTTAAGTTATGTTTTAACAGGGAGGGCAAACACTTTTTCACGCAGGGCCATGTGGGTTTGGATTTTGTTTTCCCTTAATAATTAAAAAACATTCCTTAAAAACGGCATGTTGTGTTTACTTGTGTTATCTTTGACTAATATTTAAATGTGTTTGATGATCTGAAACATTAAAGTGTGACAAACGTGCAAAACAATGAAAAACCATGAACGGGGCCAACACTTTTTCACACAACTGTATTTACCCGATTCTCTGACCCGGCTTGCTATTAGACCGGTCCCTGGAGCCTCTCTCCACTTCTGCTGCAGTGGCCTAAGGTCCTATAAATCATCATGTCCAGTACACTGTGTATAGGACACCAAGTGACTTCCTATTGCTTCAGCGAGTCACAGACAGCCGGCTTGGAGGATTGGGTGAGTAAATCTTTGTTATTTTCAGCCCTAAATCAAAATGAGCAGTTAACCCTTGCAAACTAAACTTACACGGAGTTCTTCTTTAAGCGCCAGGCTTAGGCAACGTAATGGTGAGTGAATGTTCATAAGTAAGTTTAAGACTGAATATTCAGATTCGTGCATAAATCCACTTACAAACTGCTCTCTTTAAAGCCAAAATAAACTGATATGTTTTTAGTACTGGTTTGTCTTGTTCTTGGTCTATATAAATGTATAAAAAATGTTAGGCATGAACCTATGCCCTCTCCATTAAAAAAAGAATGCTACTTATTAGGTGTAGGTGATAATGTTCCTCTAAATGGTCCCTGTTACTTCTGAGAATGGGGAAATGTATTAACAGTATGACTTCTTACTCCAGGAGCTACATTTTCCAGTTTCCAGTTGTATTTTATGCGGAAGTTGTGGGTTAATGCCAACCCGGGAAAGGATATTAAAGCTGATTGCATATTTCACTATCACCAGGTTAGTGGTAACAACAGCAAAGCCTGAGACAGACTGTGATAATTAAGAGAAAACCAAAATAACTTTGATTTTTAACTACATTTTCAGGAGCTTCCGAAATATTTGCGTGGATACCACCGCTGCTCCGTAGAAGAGGCTGGGAATTTAGCTGGGCTGATATATAAAGTTCAGTACAATAATGACCGTACTCAGTTTGCAAATCTAAATAAGGTTATGAGAGATTTGGTTCCAGAGTACCTGCAGCGCCTCATTACACCAGAAGAGTGGAAGAAGGTTTGTAAGATATACATTCCGCAATTTTTCACACTTTTATCAAATCACGCACTTTATATCATAGGTTTTCCTATGGATTTAGCTCTTTGGCATTGTCATTTCTATTTATTTAGTAAGTCTGCCATCCATGTGATTGGCTAAGTAAGGTGCAGGAGGTAAGACCAGACATTTTAGCTACTTTTTTGTTTGTATAACAGAGGTCACCAGCTGCCAGGGCTTCTGGGGCACCTCTCAGAATATAATAGCTAACAGTCAGACACCTGGTAGTATCTTCTTTTTAGGAGGAATGTATTTTGGATAAAACAAAAATAGGTTAGGATTTCTATCAGTAACCGCTTGGTGGAGATTTCTTGATCTTACATCACAGGGCACAGGAAGTTAAATTCTTTAACCATTGAGTTACAGTATGTTGCTGCCTTAGAGGTGATTGGACACTGGCAAATCAATAAAAAGCTGTTAGACAGCCCTGGATAACCCCATCCACTCCTATCCTGAATTAATTTTTTGCTCTTTATATGCTGGATGTCCTCTCTCTGCTCTGAGAGAAATACATTATTTTTTTTTTTTTTAATTCGTATTTTATTAGACAATTTTTCAAATATACACATACAAATAAAGAAATTGTCAATACAACAATACCTCAGGATGGATTAGCGTTGCGTACAATCTTTTCTACTGAAGATTCTTCTAGCACACTTTCCTAATGCAGAGCCTTGGAGAAGCGTACCCAAACCCCGCTGGAAGGAAGATGCAGGACTAGCCTAAGACCAGTGAATCCTGTGTGGGGCACTCTCTTTGCTACTTTGTGCAGCATCTGAAGTTGCTGCAGGGTGCATTACAGGTCCAGGGCCTTGGTCCATGCCCACTGGGAGGGCGAATACTAGATGGGACATGTCCTCTTTAAGTGACCACAATGCTAAATCAGCTGCCATTCTGGGGGTCGTAATTCAAAGCTTGTCATTCAAAGTACTTGCAAAGTCTAAGGCCTGGATCCCATGCAACCCTCAATTGAAATGATATAATTTTAATCGAGGGTTGCATGGGATCCATACATGCAGATTGCAGGAACATTCCTTACACGGCTTTGGTGCCGGGGACTCTCCTTACTTAGAACAGTTAGTGTCTGGATTTCTGCCTTCGTCTCCCTGTTATTGGAGAAGTAACATTCAACACATATAAGGACACTTTCTGAGGACCCCTTGCTCCCTTTGGGAGCTTATATGGAGGCTGTTCCTTTCCTTTTTGGATCTTAGTGATGCGGTTTGATTGTGGCCTACAATGAGCTTGTGCCTGGTCTCTCTGGAAAGCCCCATACAGGGGTGGCCCTCTTCCCTCACCCGGAGCTCTTTTTTTGGCCCTGCTTGTGGACACATAGAAGCTTGGGATTCTTATGAAAGGTTCCTTCATATGGAAGTTGGTGCTGGTATTATCTATTAGTGATGTTCCTACGCTCGAAGCATTACTTACATAATGGATCTTCTCAGTCCATGTGAATTCCAGATAACTTTAAAAGGCATATCACAACAGTCACCCTACTTCTGATAATATATGTGGTTGCAGCTTCCTCAGCTATCCACCACACATGGGTACATATCACACCGTGCCAAGTGAAAGAAAAATATATTTTTTTAAATGTTAAAACATTAAAACATCCTAAAATGTATATATACAAGCAAGCAAGACAGGCACTTCCTCAGCTGCTCAGCATGCTTAGTCTAAAAAGACTTTCTTGAGAACTTGTGTGTTGTGGATTGCTGGAGAAGCTGGAAGTGCAGAGAGACATACAGCTGGCAATCATCAGTGTTTACTGACACACCATTTTCCATGCAAAACAGAATAAGAATATCCTTTCAGTCAAAATATTAAGAAAAAACAAAGAAAATGTTTTTTAAAGTTACCCTTTTCATCAAAAATATCTTATAACCAGAGCTTGAATGGAGGCACCTGGAGGTCCCTGCACACTTTTCCATTTTTTATTCGCCCCCGCAGCTGCAAATTCTATGGCTAAACACTGACATAAGGGAGCTTAGCGCTGGCTTCATCATTCTCTGACTCACATCTAGTAACCTGTTAGGTTCAAAGACTGATTGACTTGTAAGGAATGGTAGACGAAGGACCAATTCTCAACTTCACGTTCCCAAGTCAGTACTATAAGACAGTGAAATGCATATACAATGACTGCATTTCAAACAGATGCTGTATTAACTGTTCTGGATAGAATGGGTTTACAGATAGTGTGAAAGTGTGATAATGTTCTTCATTCTGAAGAGAATTTGGAATCTAGCTCTTATGCTTCTTTTCTGAATATAATTCACAGAATACTATTTTTTTCTTCTTCTTGTGAATAGAACATCATAGCTGCCTATAATAAACATGAGAAGAAAACGGTGGATGAAGCCAAAGTGGCATTTCTGAAGCATATTTGCAGGTGGCCAACATACGGCTCTGCTTTCTTTGAGGTCAAGGTGAGCCCCCATATAACAAATGTAAAGGCGTAATGGCTTTTTAAGCATGCAGGTTGTATTTGAAAGCTGAGGGACTGCAGATTGTCTGTTCCACCATCTGTACTAACATGGTCCAGGAAATGTATATACTAGTGGTTGATAAAGGGATTAAAACAAGTAGCATCAAAACAAAAATATAGAATATAAACAAAAATACATTTTTTTCTAAATTTTTTGCCTGTGGTCATTCAGTTTACAAACACATCTCTAATTGTAGGGAAATGTTCTTCTTTGTTATTTATTATATGAAAGTGAAATTACAATTGCCAACCAATCGAATTTCCAAGGACAGTGCTACATTTTGGAGATTTTTGCCAAAGACGTTTATGAGCTTCAGTTTCACATCTAACTTTTTTGTATGTATTTATGAATATGTGCTGGGGTTGGACAGAGTCAATGTCTTCTGAGATAGTACGGTTTATTTAGTTTAGTGCTCTCAGGAACAATTTTTTAAGAACTCGAGGATTTTTTTTATTAACCCTTGCAGTGGGGCTACCCCTGCACTGCATGGTTCAAACGCTCGTTTGTGTCTAGGTTTTTAAAAAAAAGTTATCCTCACCCAATGCTCTGAGCCGGCTTCTTCTTAGACCGGTCCTTCCAGAGTCTCTCCCTCTCCTCTGCAGCGGTCTAAGGTCTTATAAATCATCACATCTATACACTGCGTATAGTAGTGAGTACACTAAGGTAGACATGTGCGATTCGTTTTGTTACGAATCGAAATTCGTACGAATTTTCCTGAAATTCGTAAATTCGGAAGCATCCGAAATCCGAATTGCAGTTTCCGAATTATATCCGAAATACGAAATTCCGTTAGCGAATTTCGGATCCGAATTTATTTGAAACGGGAACTAATATTACCCCTGTAAATGAGGTTGAACAACAAGACAAGATTTTTTTTAAATCCGAAATACGGATCCGCTGCTGCTGAGGGTTGCATTACTATACACGCAGGAAAAACCAAATTGCGTTAACGGAATTTAGTTCCGTTACGAACATTCGTTATATTGAAGTTAAAAAGCAAAATACCTTTGTTAATATATTGGAGTTGATGGTAGTTTTTTTTTAATACGAAATACGAAATTCGGATCCGGAATCCGTTAACGGAATTCGTATTTCGTTTGGTAGACCAATCAGAGGTTTTCTCTTCTGCTGCTGAGAGTTGCATTACAATGAATACAGGCAGGAAATACGAAATTCCATTAACGGAATTTCGTTCCGTTACGAACATTCGTTATATTGAAGTTAAAAAGCAAAATACCTTTGTTAATATATTGGAGTTGATGGTAGTTTTTTTTTTATCCGAAATACGAAATTCGGATCCGGAATCCGTTAACGGAATTCGTATTTCGGATAAAAAAAACAACTACCACATCGACTCCAATATTAACAAAGGTATTTTTGCTTTTTAACATCATTATAACGAATGTTCATAAAGTTACGAAAATGTGCCGAAACTGCCGAAAATTCGTATTTCGTACGAATCCGAATTGAGTTTCGGACACGAATTACGAAATACTAAATAACGGATATTCCGAAACTAAACAAATTTTTTATATCTTTGTTATTTTTGTCCCTAGACACAACGAGCACTTTACTCTTGCAGTGCAGGGGTAGCCCCACTACAAGGGTTAAGAGAAACTTAAAATGTTTAAATGTTGGCACTAGGATAGTAAACTGTCCATTCAGACATGTATTTTTGACTAAGACTTTAAGATACATATGATTTCAGTTGACTAATATATTATACAACCTAATAAAACAAAATAAAAAAATATGTATATATATTTATATATGTGTGTTTTTTCAATTATTATTTATTTTTTCTATTTTTGTTTTCCACAGTTCTCATATTATAATATGTAATTGATGTGGACAAGGACCCAGTGTACTCTTTAGTGTTCATTAATAGTTAACTTTCAAGATATGTAACCACTTGTTTGCAATCACAATATTTAGCACAATAATTAGCTGTTAGTGAGGACATATTTTCTGAAAATGTAGGTACCTTCCCTTAGATTAAGACCGATTGAGAAATCACAACTGTATCATTGCACTGTCAGCATTAAGTTTATAACACTGTTTTTGTGAGTAATGTGTAATGTATCAGTGGGGAAATAATATTTGTAGTAAAGGCTTCTTTATTATGTCATATGTATCTGTCTTGCAGCAATGCTCTGACCCATCCTACCCTGACATTTTGCTCATTGCGATAAACAGGCTTGGAGTATCACTCTATCACCCAAAGACAAAGGTAAAAGAATGAAGGGACTGATATACAGAGGATCTGGCTTTTGATCTCAGTTATGCAGCAGGGGTACCACACCCCCATTTATTTACTGTTCATGCAAATGCATTCTTGAACTGATTCTTGAACTTATTTCAGAAAGTTTGGAGTTTTAGTGTTACCCATTATTAAGTTATTAAAGATGCAAGATTCCAGGACCTGTTAGGTTTCTTCCTTAGGTATTAGATGTGTAAGCCGGCAGTGTGGATTTGGATTCTTGTTTCTTTCGGATTTCAGCATTCAGGTCCGAAAGTTGATTCGGTTCGTGATTCGGATTCTGAACTTTTCGGAAGAGTTATTACGAACAAACGTTCATTGCAGAAATACCCAATGTTGGCTCTGTGTGTGTGTATTTTACTTTTAAAGTGACAAAAGATGTACTTTTGTTTTCTTATTAACTTTTGAGAGTCCTCAAATAATTGTTTTTATTTCTTCAAATTCTTTTAAATCCTTATTCCGAGAAAGGTCTATCATTTTGATCATAGGTGTATTTTAAACAGAATATCAACCAAAAATCCAGAAAAAACACATGATACAAATGTTATAAATTGAGTTGCAGTTCAGTGAGTAAAAGAAGTATTTGATCTCCTACCAACCAACAATAATTCTGATAAAAATGATAGACCTTTCATTTCTTTGTAAGTGGGCAAACTTACAAAATCTGCAGGGGATCAAATAATTATTTTCCACACTGTATATATACTTTATATATAATGCCTAAGGAAGGAACCTAACACCTCAATTACCTAAACTAACTAACACATTAGATATGTAATTGTGTAATATCTAATGTGACTCATTCCTTCCCTTTAATATGAGTGTAAAACAATTAAACATTATTTAAAAAGGCCAGTTAATATTGATAATGTTGCTCTGTGCCCACATGCATTTGCATTACAAATGCCCAGAAAAGCTTACAGCCAGCTAATTTGATTATTTTCTGTGTCCACAAATACATTCAGGCCACATAAAGTGCAGCATCAGTGTCCAGCTTTGACATGCTTTGACATGTAATGTGCACTCCCAACAGTTTGCCATAGGTGGCAGCCATTTGTTTAATACTTTCCTAAAAAATATTCTTTTTGAATATCTTTGTTTGTTCAAGACAGTAGAGCTTGAATGAAAAACAATTAATGTATCTTGAAAATATATTATCGTTTGAAAGTGAAAATACTTTAACGACATATTTATAATATAATAGGCTCACAGAGTATTCTAGACAATACAAACTATCCACAAAGAACTAAAAGTTAGTACTGAAGGCCAACTAATTTTCTGCCAAATGTCTATAGACTTTTTAGCCCAATGTCTACAACAACTTGCTTTCAAACCACAACATAAGGATGAACTACAAGTTTTATGATAATACCACTTAATGCCCAGTGAGATGCCAAATTAGTACCCTAACATTTTTGTGTTGCCAACTCAGGAGTTGCTGGTCAATCACCCTTTAAACAAGATTTCTCGCTGGAACAGTGGCAACACATACTTCCAGATGACAACTGGAAGCCTTGTGCGAGACAACAAGATCCTGTGTGAGACGTCACTGGTATGTGTACATTCTCTCTCTGTGATTGTTTAAACTGTGTTAAAGCTGAGTAGTGACTACAACACTAAGGTCTCGTTCACACCTAGGCGTATTGCATATGCGCGTCTGTCGCACGTTTTTTTACCGTAATTCGCGGTAAAAAAAGTTGCGCGACCGTCGCGCGTTTCCGAAGGCTACTTGGCTGTATCCCAATGGAAACGCGTAACCAAACGGCCCAAAGCAGTACATGTACCTTTTCAGGCGTGGGCCGTTTTGTAGCACGTTAGGGACGGGCGGAAATACGCCAAGGTGGGAACGAGACCATTGAATACAATGGGATTTATATTTTTGAGCGTTTTGTAGAGCGTTCGTCGAGCGTAGAACGCGCTACAAAACGTTCAGGTGTGAACGAGGGCTAACAAACATCATATCCGGTAACCATTATCATAAGTAATAGAAGATATGCACACATGCTACAATCATTTTTGAATGTAATACTTTCCATTTGATCTAAGTGCACCTGATCAAAAACACCACCACAAATGTTGCATTCATAACATTGTATGAAGAACAACAATTGTGTTAGTGGCACTTGCTTAAATAACAATAGGAAGTCAGTGCGAAGTGGCTTATTTAGTAAGAGGAAAATCCAGTGTGTAACATTAAGTAACCTATACCCACCACATCTGTCCATTTTATCTGTCATTTATCTAATTGGTTGCAATGTGTTATACACATGATGCTTGTCCTTTGCAATACTTTATTGAATAACCCTGTAAAAGTAATAAGTAAAAACATTCATTTATCAAGAAATCCAGACAAAAGATTTTTGGATAAAAAGAGAAAAGCTAAGAATGTCTATTTGGTATCCTTTGGTGATATTTTGCTCAATATTCTGGTGTGTCACCAGGCAGGCAGTAGGGGGAATCCCCCCAAAGGGGACAAATGCAACAATAAAATCATTGCACATGACGCACCTCCTTAAATAAATACAAACAAGAATTTAAAAGTATTTATCAAGTGCTGGTGATCTTCATTTGTATCAAGACATTTTCAAATCAAACTTTAATCAACTGGAATTGGTTAGGTCTGAAACAAAAAATACCTACAACAAAATCAAAAGATGCTAATAAGACAAAGTGTATGAAAACCCCAACAATGAACTTATCCTATTTGCTCTTTTTTGGTCTGTTAAATATACCACTGAAAATGTTCTGCTTTATCTGTGTGATAAGTGCCAACCACCCCTTATGTTATGGAGAAGAGGAGAGTATTGGATTGCACGGCGCCATTCATGATCATCACTGCGAGCACCACCATTTATTGTATTGTCCTAAACGCTGTAAGGAGTGCAGGGGATACATCTGGACATTGATTTGAAAATGTTGTAGTGTTTTGCTAGCTTGCTGCTAGTGCTTCCTTAGAGTATTTCTGTTTTCCTATTTGCACTGATAATATCTCTGTCTTTGTTAAGCTCCAACCCTTTCTCTGCTCTGTCACTATCTTTCTTCAATTCCCCCTATTCCAATAAACAGTGTAGTGTGGGGTTGTTCTACAGAGTGTTGATGGAAAACTGTCACTGCTTCTTTCAATTTTCTCTTGTTATTAATATGCTAATTTTTATCCCGCAGGGCTATAAAATGGATGACCTGTTGACATCGTACATCAACTACTTTCTGTCAAAGCAGCAAAATGCAAAGGATCCATAGTGCAGCTGTTCTGAGACATCTGAATATACTTAAGCTGAGAAATGAATAGTACCCAATCTGTGCCTGATGCTCAGCTCAATATAAAACCTGGCAGTCGGAATGGTAACTGCAGAAACCAGTCTATCCTTAAATCACCAGCTGGCACCAGCATCTGTCTTATCTATACTGATAAACATTAGTGCCTAGTGTTTCATTCAGTTAAATGAAGAGAGAAATATCTATTTTGTGAAAAGCCATCTGGGAAACTTTTGTAATATCATTAATTTTACACTGATTGCTACAAGACATATCTATTCACTGACATATCATTGTCAAGATCCGGCAAAGCAGATGTGCGTTGTCTGGACCTTCTACAGAGCGTCCCTGTGCCACATTAGTGTCAGAACCGGTACCAGATTTTAATGTAAGCAAATAATTTACCAGTCCTGTACATCAAACTGCCAGATGATTCAGAAAACCTCTCCTCCCTGTAGCAAAAGGAGCCCTAAAAGTATTTGTGTCACGTTTCATATAAAGCCAGAACCTAACAGCTGTCACCTAATGGTCTATGGGACTTATCTATCCAAGCTGCATACTGCTGACAAGTAAACCTGCAGCTGGTAAAGTAATTGCTCTTCAAAGTGAACATACTGACTTGCTAATATTACTGCAATTACCACCCTCCACACAGTACAGCTAATCCGCCACCTTTCAGACACCTCCTGGTACTTGGCATCTTTTGCCAGCAACCCTTTTTGCTGTGCGTTTGGAGGCCTCATATACTGGTGCCTTTAACAGAGCAACCTATGCAGCATGCATGAAATTGCACAGGACATGGCAAGTAATAGGATTTGTTGATGTGGATAATGTAAAAATAAAACAGATGCAAAATATATATATATATCTGTAATCATTTGTCTCTTCTCTGTTATTCGTACAGCTTTTATACTGAGGATTATTGCACTCACTGCAGTAGATCAAAAAGCTATTCAATGTCAATAAGGAACAAGGTGTTCCATGACCATATGAAAGTATAGGTCCTCAGTGTTGGTACTTTCACATAGGTCATGGAGCTCTGAGTAGACTTTATATAGTTTATCAACTACAAACTACTGTGTTCTCTTGCGCAATGTGCAAGAAGTTTTGCTATTCAACTCTTACACGAACACTTGTGCTATTCAACTCTTACACAAACAGTAAGGCTTTAGATTTGAAATAGGAAATCAAGGTGTCATTGTCCTTCCTAATTGGTTGAACTAATAGCTTATAAAATCACAATAGTATACTATTAGATTGATGAATGTTACACACTTTACAATATACTTAAAGGTGCCCATATACCTGCGTACGATAATCGTGGGAAATCCCGCGATCGTACGATAATCGGCAGGGGTATGGAAGGCGGGCGACCGTTTCTACTGTACAGTCGCACCTCTTTTGTCTCCCGAGCAGGCTCGAAACCCCGCCAAGAATCGTACGATTGTTGGCGGGTTTGTGGCGTTCTTGGAAGACAAATGCCACACTGCCCGTGCGGCATTGGAGTCATCGGAAGCCCCCCCCCCCCCGCTTTTAATGATTGCAAGTACGACCTGCCTGTCCAAGTGACACGTTCTGTGTCACCGACCTGCAACCAGTGTGAAGATTAGGAATTTAGTTTGACCTGATCAGCATGCTCATGATAATCAATGGTATTGTCCGTATTTATCTGAGTCAGTTAAAGTTTCCTGTAATACCCTTTAAAGTGAACCTGTGGCCAGACTATAGACATACAAGTATTTATACATTCTTAGCAGTAGATGAGCTTTTAAACAAGCCTGAAGCGACCTCTGTAGCTGCAGACACTGTGGAGATATTCACCTTCAAAGTTAACAACAGATGCGCTGAGTTCTTCTCTCTGCTGCTCAGCTCCCTTTCCAGAAAAACATTATAGATTTGAAGGCTGCAAAGACATTATGGGTGAACTACACTGGCGTAAAGTGTATCTCCAGGCAAATATATATATA